CCGGGAGCCGGCAGCGTTGTGATGCCTGCAGCGGGGAGGAAATGGGAGGGCTTTGTGACGCCTCCGGTCGGGGAGGACTGGGAGCCACTCGCCTGCCTTATCCGGGGCTCCGGATGCCGAATCTAAATCTCTGATCCTTAGGAACAGCGCTTGTCTCTCATCCCTGTTTCTTTACTGGAGAGTCCACATGGAGCTGCAAAAGCAATAACCAGCCATTAGGAAGTTTTGTCCTAAATCAGGTTAGGAAGCTGCAATTAGTAATTGCCTTTTTTGAAGATTGCTGCCATGTAGGTTTCTGTGTGTACTAAAATAAAACAGTAGGCATAAAACGAAAAAATAAACTGTCCTTGAGAGCAAATCTTAACAAGTGTGATTATAATCTAATAATCCTAGATCTGTTTCCTGATCTACAGTGTCCTTGTCCTTTCCTGCTCGTAGAGGAATAAATCAGTTTTGTTTCAGGCTGTTTAGACAGCAGGGAGGAGCAGCTACTGCTGAGGCTGTAATGGAGTAAGTCGTCTTGTTTTTGGAAACACTCTGATGCTTAAGCTTTGCAAGATTGTTTTTATGCATAGATAAATGCATCTAAAGAACAGATGTCCTAGAGCAAACAGATGATGTAGCCACTTACTGTTCTGTTATTTCTTAAATTCCGTAACAGATAACCTTGACAGCAGCCTGAAGGGGCACTTGACATTTGTAATAAATTCAGAAGTTACTGTCTGGTCTGCTCCAGTCAATGTAGGTGTGTTCTGTGAAGTAATAAAATGAAAGTTAAAATGTTACTTTTATATTCAGGTTTCTTTAATAGAATACTTTACTTGCACTCAGGCAAGCTGTTAATACTTGTTTTGGTGAACTGACAGTGTCCTGCTGATTAGTAGCTGTCTCTGCAGGTGATAAAATAGATTCCTGAATTAACTGTAGTTTTAAGCCTCAGATGTTACTGTTTGAGTACAATTTCTACTTGCATTTAATTTATTACAAGTAAGTTGCTAACAGCTAGTTCAGGTTTCCAGACCTTAACGGGTCTCTGTGCTTTGTAATGTAAACATTTTTAGGCACTCTAGCGCTGTAAGAATAGCGTGAACTCAGTTGAGATATAATAGGTTTTGTGCAAGTTGCTTTTTGCATAATCTTTGGTCTGTATAGAGAGTAAGCATGGGATTTAAGAGTGACAGATAGAAAACAGTAGTGCCCAACAAGTTCTATCATATATGAGATAACTGCCTTTCTCATGCTCTTCAAAAATATGGTTAAAGAGCAATAAACTATGAGGGTGGCATGATGAGACAGAGAATCTTGCTAGTGTCCTGGTAGTGCGCTAATTAAAAGCAGAAGCATAATACTGTGGTGTGCAAAAGTCACTTTATTCTGGATGAAGAACTTGCTGTTGACTTCAGTAACCCAAGGCTTACTATGAAAGCTTTTTGGTAAGTGTTTTGGAGTCCAAAATTTGACGCAAAATTCTGTATTTAGGCATGCTGAGGCCTAACTGAAACTCTCTGAACATCTGTAGAGCTTCTCACCTTCTCAGAGTTGAAGGAAGCTGAGGATTTCTCACTCCGGACTTGCTGGCGAGCTGTTTATTTAGGTGTGTCTTTAAGCACTGGGCTTAATGCTAGGCACCTTACTCTGAGCTTAAGATTCATCTGTTGAAGTGCTGTAAAAGTAAGTGAAAATTGGGAGTTAGTCTTTATATCCATATGGCATTTTGAATCCTGTGTCTTGCCAGTTTACTGTTAATGTCCCCTAATTTTTAGGCTAGAGTAAGCTTTTTGTTGAATACATCCCTAGAATCAGATGTCTTCATCTGCATTTGCTAGAACCAAGCTTTTTTTCTTCAGCTTTCTGCTTTGGCTTTCTGAAAAAGAAATCAAAGAGTTATGTTTCACATTCCCAAATTGGGATGACATAATTATTACCTAAGTGTGTCTGAGCAAAAGTTACACTGAATGGGAAATGCAGATATTTATTCAACGTTTTGGTGTGACTGAGTTCACTTAGAGTTGTTTTTAATTATAGTTGACTTTTGTCCCATTTTGTTACAGATGGGCCTTCTTTCAATCACATTGTTTGGTTACTGAAGTCAGCCTTTCTTTTTATTTTGCTGTTTCAGTGAAAACATATGGGAAAATGTAAAATGAGGTTTTTTGTGTTTCTACACTTGGATTCTGTAGGAAATGTAGTTTGGAACCTAGTTATTGGCTATTCCTGTTATTCAAATGGAGACTAAAATACTAAATGTATAGTTAGTTCTATATCTGAGGCCTTAATGGATGAAATTCAAAAGGTATACTTCACTTTCTGACTTAATGTAAGTAGACATTGGAAATCCATGCCTTGTTGTGCACACGCACACCCCATGAAGTTCTGGTGTGCTATGGCAGAAACAAGATTTGTCTGTAGCACAAAAAATTCTTTTGGGGATTGCTGACTTGAGGGTGTGGTTTAAGAAGCAGCTCAAATCAGTCTGAGTGGAGGTTGCTGTTGAAAGCTATTGTTTGAGCCCTTGCTTTCCTTCTCCTTCCTGTGTTGGCCCCAGTGCTCTCTGTGGCTGCCCAGGTCACCTTGTTGATCTGGCTGAGAATTCAGCTTTAGGATGAGTTTTCAGGTGGATTAACTCACTGAACCAGGTGACTGGCAGTCCAAGGAACATGGTGAGGATGTGTGGAAGGAGGGAGTGTTCCTTTTACATTCAGCCAAAGCAATTCTGATATTCCTATAGAAATAAAATTTAAGATTTTTGGCTGCAAGTTGAATGTGTGGTATTTTAATAGCTGTTTGTGTGGTCATAGATGAGAATTGAGGATATGGACCTGATTCTACATATTACGGAATTATTTGGAAGACCTTTGGAAGCTTTCTTGGAGTTCCTCCTTAAAACTTAATCTTGTGACTAATGTTAATTCTGCTGTAGATACACAGCACCCAGCTATGGCAGCTTTAGTTCTCAAGAATGTTTTTCATTTTGTGGTGTTAGTGAGACAAAGGTAGGTGAGGAATACTGTCAGAAATACTAAAATATGAACCTGGGTGGACATTAAGGATATGTAGTTTGTGATTCAAGTACCTCTAGCAGCATGCCAGTAGTGTTGGTGACAAATAACTCCTGCATAGAGCTGCTACCATAAAAAGGCACAAATGAAAAGCTCACCTAGAAAGAGTAAAGGAATCTTTATTCAAGATTTCTGCATTGTCTGATTCATCAGTAATAAAATACTTACTCTGGAATGAAACAAAAGCAGACACACAAGTACATTGCTTGTCCAGTGGATTTTCTGGCTGCACACAACCAGCCAGAATAAAAGGAAATAGTAAAATTATTTTACTTTCTGTGTTTTAGGTAGGATTCTGCAGAAACCTCATTAGTCCATGTTGCACTAGCAGATCCTGGTTTGGTGTATGGTTTGTGTTCCATTTGGCTTTTAAATGCACAGTGAGCCCCTGGGAAAGAGAGCAAACATAAACAAAGTCCCATAATAGTAAGTTGTTGAAGAAAACATGAGCAGAGTAGTAGGTAGGCATCTCAGGTAAATGTCAAAGATTAACCAGGGGTAGCAAATGGTGTTGGAACCAGTGGCATCCTATAGTCTAGAAGTCAGGTGCTGTACCTTGAGGTTGCCTTGTGCCTGCAGTACAAATCTTACTCTCTGTAAAGGAGATGATGGGTTTACAAGATGAGGCTCTCCATGAAACGCACATAGATGTGTTACATCTGAAAGAATGAATTGGACTGGTACACTTCTAGTTCCTCAGCAACAGGTGCTAATAGCCTTAACTGACACAGAGGGAAAAGTTAGGAAAAAACAATGTAGCTTACTTCAGTCTGTAATTCACAAGACACAAAGGAGGAAGTAAATATCCAAATAGCACTGAAATTGGTTACTCTGCCTTGCAACAGCTTGTTCAACCAAGTTTTTTGTGTTCAATTCAAAGCATTCCAGTCCAGGTATCTGACAGTTATGGCAATAACTTCAGAGTTAGGATAAGATGTTTCTGTTAGGCTAAATGGTGCTGAAATAGTTCAGATAATTATGGAGTGGATGTTGATAATGCACTACTTAGTTAAAAGCGTTCAGGATATGCTGAAAAGCCTGTGCCATGAAAGTATTTGTTCACTGCTCTAAATTATTCTTAAAATCTAGTCTAGGATGTGTTTTTTAAGAAGTGAAGTTTTTGAGTCGGAGACAGTAGAGATAACCTTACATTGCTTTTCTTAATGCATTGTGGGATGAGAGAAGTTTCTTCATCATTTCATTAGAGTTCACCTGTAATGTATTTGAATATATTGTTCACTTGTTTTCCTACTGGAGTATTGAATAAGGTAATACTAGAAAGGAGCTGGCTGATAGTGGAGATCGCAAAGGAATAGAAAAACTAAAGCTGGGGGAAGATCCACTTTCAAAAAGTCAAACAGCACCTGAGCAGTGCTCTCTACTGTATTACTGGGTGTGTTGGGAGTCAAGTTCCAGAGGCACTGTTCTTTTTTCAACAGGTCTCGTGGTGGTGGACTTGTTTCTCGCAAGCAGAAAGAGCTGCCAACAGAACCCCCTTTCACAGCATATGTGGGAAATCTACCCTTCAACACTGTTCAAGGAGACATAGATGCCATCTTCAAGGACCTCAGTGTAAGGAGTGTACGGCTAGTCAGAGACAAGGAAACAGACAAATTCAAAGGTGAGTGTTCGGAGAACTGTATCAAAGCTGAAGTGTCTGACCCACTTAAGATTCATGACCTTAAGTGCCAAGCACTTAAACAATCTTTTGTTAGTTCAGATGACTCCTGTAGCTTCAGCTTTTCTGTTTTTTTTCTTTTTAGTAGACAAGGAGAAAAGCAAGTAGATAAGCCATTCAGGCAGTTGTTTTAGAGGATGCAAATCTGATTTCTGTTGGAATTGGCCAGTGGAAAAAGGCAGTATATTTGTAAGCTACTTTTAAGGGGAAAAAGGCTTAAGTCTGGTAACAGAGGGTCTCAGAAAAGGAGTAAGTTCACTAAATGTGATGACACAACTGTTGACCAAGCATGTACTTCAGTTTCTTATTTAAAATACTGTCAATGTTCAGCTAAATAGCTGTCCAAATCAAAGATCAAATCTAATGTGTAATGAGAACCTTATGGTAAAGGGAATTAAACAGGCTCTTAGCATTTGCGTAGTGCCCATACAGAGCTGTGTTTCAGGATTTGTCCCCATCATTAATAGACATAATGCATTAATAATGCATTCATCCTTAGTGATGTTTGGTTTCCAAGTTACACACATCTTGCACTTACGTTGTAGTTCATCTTTGAAAGAGAAGGGAAGCTATTAGCAGGTATGCAGGAAGAGTAGCTTCTTTAAGAGGCCTTTTAACATGCTGGTATTAACTTGTGAAGTTCTTCTTACAGGATTTTGTTACGTAGAGTTCGATGAGGTGGAGTCACTCAAGGAAGCTCTTACATATGATGGTGCAGTAAGTATACTTGCAATTAATTTGTGAAATAAAGATGAGCACAAGTCTCAAATTCCTTGGCAGCCTATATGGTATGTTCTGAAGAGCTTCTCCCCTTTATTTAACAGCTTTTGGGTGACCGATCACTCCGAGTGGACATAGCAGAAGGCAGGAAACAGGATAAAGGTGGCTTTGGCTTCAGAAAAGGTGGTGGATCTGATGAGAGAGGTGATTTCCATTTCTCTGAATAACTTCTTAAGTATGTGATTGTGGTTATGACTTCTGTTGCTAGCTAATGCTAAGACAAGGCATGTGAGTAAATGTGAAGATTATCTAGGGAAGAGAAATTTTATGTTTATACACATTTCTAACCTAGCTGCTGCTGCTTCTGAGATGTCTGGAATAGATGTGCTTTGTGTCCAAAAGCTTGAATGTGTTGTCACTCCTAGTCCAGGAAGTGAGACCAATACCAGTGTACAGTGTCTTGCAGAGGACAATCATAAGCCCAACAGTCTGATCTGCTACTATTTTATCATGATGCAAATGTGAGTAAGCTAAGTACAGGTACTTATTTTGGACTATCTCCTGTTCCAGTGTAAAACCAGACTTTGCTGTAGTTGGAGCTTATTTGAACTCACTAAAGGTTTCCATTAAAAGTGTATTAGGGAAACTTTTCTGACCACTCATTCTTGGTTAACTTAAACTGACCGTTTGTTCCTATGCAAAGGAAGTTGTTGGTACTGAGAGGCAAGTACTTTCCAGCAGCATGACTTTGGATATTGAAGGACTGAGACTTTGGTTTGGTGTCCCCTTCACCAGTCTTTCCCACAGCTTCAGACCTGAACACAATTGTGGCTTTTTTCCTAGGAATGGGAGGAGGTTCCCGAGAATCCAGAGGAGGTGGATGGGATTCCAGAGATGACTTCAATTCTGGTATCAGTATTACACTTATACAGATAGGCAGCCTAAAAGGCACAGAATTGTTCTCATTTTCATGTCAGCTGCATTTGTCCTCATTACTGTTTTGACTGACTCTGTGCTGAATTTGGACATCCTACAGCTGTAGTGGGATCCTTCAGGAGGAATCTTCCATTGCCTTATAGCAGAGGGAAGAGTCTGATCGTAAATTTTGTGAAACAATCCTAAATGACAATGCTTTTTCGATTGTAGCCTATGATGTATTGAGCATTTCTCAAACATGAGACCAAGTACAGTTCTGAATAGTAGCAGAAACAGACATATCATGTGGAAAAGCCAATATTGATGCTGTATTCTTTCAGAGTCGAGACTTTCACCTTCTTAAGGAGATGTGACATCAAATAACCCTGAAGCAACTGACTTCTCTAAAGATGTGTTAGTGTTCCAAAGCACTTTTAAGTGCTAAATGCTCCTAAACTCTTAGACCTGTTACAATAACACAAGTTGCAGCAAATGATTGAACTTTGAGTGGAAGGTAGTGATGGAACCACTCGGTTTGCTCTTGACTTCCAGTCAGTATCTATTAGAATCCAGGATGACATTAATGCTTTTGTCCTCTGAAATCATGGGTTTGGTCAATTTTCTGGTGAGGAGATGTTGGCAAGTGCAACTTTGCAATGTCTGCTCTCTGTGTGAGTGGAATGGATGAAGTGGAAGGAGTAGTAACAAGTGTGCCCTTGCCACTAGCATCAAACTGAAACGTGGTGTTGGAGACAAGAAGCTTGCTACAGCACTTCGCTTAACCTGCCTTTGTAGCTAAGCACTCTGGTGTCACAGCTTTATACCTTTTTTGGTAGCTTCTTCAAATGCAGATGCATTTCAGCTTGTTAGATGCTGGGTGAGCGGTTTGTGAGCCAACAGTTTAGCATTTCAGTCTTAGTTGCTACAGAAGCTTCTGTTCTCAGGTTGTACAGCCTTACTTTGGATCAAGTCTTTAAAGATGGTTGATTGGCTCTGAAGTAAAGAAAATCAGATGGGAACAAACCAGCTTTCTCTTCCAGGCAGCTTCTGAAAAACTGAATATATTCCCATTAGTTGTGCTACTAGCCTGAAGTATGCTCGTCCTATTGAATGCAGGTAGGGACTTGAAGAAGAGGTACTCAAGGATAGTCGTTGGTACCGGATGGAACTCTGGCTAGTGACAGTTCTTGATTTTTTTTATATGTAACTTTCAAGTTTAAAGTCTGATTTGGTTTTTGGTTTTGTTTTCCCATTTCTTTAATTAGTCAGTTTACAGTACAACTAAAAAGCTTTGCTCTGTTTTTCAAAGGTTTGGGTTTACAAAAACTGTATATTTCACTATCTTCCCATTTACTCTGCTCCTGCAGATTTCATGCTAAGGCTGTAGCCAGTCTGGTCTTCTGGCTACAGAAGTACTCTGAGCACTTCTAGTGTTTTTTCTGAATCCAGCTGATGATGTTAACAATCTGAAGTTGCCACTGAAGCTCATATTTTAAGCTCACTTGATGACCTCCAGCACTCCAATAGGCCTCTAGGTGGATAAAGCAATTTCTGTACTTGGTTTCAAGTGGAATCTGATTAATCTTCTGGAACATGCTAGAGATCTGCGGAGCAATCTGGCTACAGAAAAAGGCTCTCAGTGTATCATCTGGGACTCACAGCAGTGACTTGAAAGGTTTTTCCAGTCATCCAGATAAAAATCTAGATTAAAAGAATTGCAGAATGTGCTCTTTAAATTCACTGTCTTCTGTCTTCAGGATTCAAAGATGACGACTTCTTGGGAGGCAGGGGTAGAGGAACCCGACCTGGAGACCGGCGACCACCTGGTGCCTCAATGGGAAGTGGTGGCACTGGTCGCTTCAGAGATGGGCCTCCCCTTCGTGGATCTTCCATGGACTTCAGAGAGCCAACAGAAGGTAAATTTTTTTGTATCTTCTGTAATTTAGTCATCTTTCATGACGGAAACTCTTGCTTTCTTTGTCAGGTTAAAGCTGCTGCCCTTGACAGACAGATCTTAAAACCTTTTTTTTTTTCCAGAGGAACGAGCACAGCGACCTCGACTTCAGCTCAAACCTCGAACAGTTGCTACCCCCCTCAATCAAGTAGCCAACCCAAACTCTGCAATCTTCGGTGGAGCCAAGCCCCGAGAGGAAGTAGTAAAAGAGCATGACTGAGTTTGGGGTTGAGAGGGAATGGGGAGGCGGGAGAAAAAGTGAGACAGTACAGAGTGACTAGCTCTGCTGGAATGTCAACCCTGCAGTTTACCATTCCTGCCATCTGGCATTTGTCCTCTTTGAAACCGAAAATACAGAGCTTGTGAATGCATGTCAAGCTGTTAACGAGTGGTTTTTAGTACGTTCTTGGCTTTGCTGTATCTAGTGCTGGCTTTGTGCTGAGTTTCCCTCTTCTGTTTCCTTCCAAGCAGCACAGTTGCCAGTAGATAGGGCAGTGTAGCTGCTCCCACAAGTGTGGAAGTCTCTGGACAAAGGTGCTGCTTCAACTTCTTCCTTTCTGGGTTTGTTTTACTTCAGAAGCACAGGTTAGGCTTAGTTATTGCCCCATATCGTTTGCTTTTACTTCCTCAGTGCTCCTCTTCTGACCTGCATGTCTTGTTCTGTATTGCTGTGGCTCTGAAGAGGAAAACTGGAGAGCCCAGATGAGTTGAGCAGAGAAATTTACAGTTCTAACCAAGTAGTGAAATACCACTTAGGACAATTGGTGATAGTTACTGTATACAGTAGAACCCCTTATAGAACTAAGGGATGTAACTGCCCTTTCACACCAGGTTACCAGGAAGTATCAATAGATGCAAATAAAATTAACAAGAAGCCTGATGAATAAGTGGTGGAATCAATATGGATAAAGCATCTGCTGGCACACTCTTGCTGGTGGCTTTCCATTGACCTCAGAATGGTATGATACTACTCCACTGAGTGCAAGGTTAGTGCTGCAAAACTGTCTGAGCACGACTGCTCACTGGCTCTTTCTGCTTACTTTTTTTGGGATTTTACGTATTTGGTAAATTTTTAAAAGAAGTTTCTACAAATAAAGTTGCCTTTTTTATTTTTGTTTAAGGAGTGTATACTTTGCCATGCAATATGTAACTGCCATTATCCCCTGTATTTTGTTTCCCAGTGGTGTACAGTTTTAAGACCTGCTGAAAATGGACAGATTAGGAATCACTTTGCTATAGATTCTCTTCGTGTAGAAGTTTGAGTAAAAAGCATTTTTGATTGCTGCATTTCTTTCAACTTGAAATGTTTCTTTCCAGTGTTGTGTGGGAGGAGGGAGGGGAGGCTGGAGCAAAAGGAGAGAGAGAGATCGTTAGTGTTTTAAAACAAAAGCTGGATCTACAACCCCAAATTGTGGATATGCCCAATGCATGAGAAAAACAGGCCCCTAATGCTGGTGCTGACAGCTCTCAGGTGAAACAGCCAGCACCTCAGAGTACTTTGCTAGAGGAGTTTGGAAGTGTGGCTGCTTCACTGTCAGCATCCCTGCTAGTAGTGAATTTTTTCCCTGCAATTACCTTTGTAATGTCAGAGCCCCAGCAATTTACAGAACTGCTCTTTCCTTCCTTCTGCCTGTCACTTAATCTGCTTCTGAGATAAGAACCATTTGTCTAACACTAATAGTTAATTTAAGACAGACATGCATTTGTGTGGTTGTATTCCAAACCAATAATTGACCTATTTACATCCTCAATGTGGAAAAAGATTTTAAGAACAAATTCCCATATAAGAACTCACCTCCAGTCAAGAAAGTTGACTTTTAAATGTAAAAACAAAACAGACAAAAAAAGGAAAATAATTCCAAACACTTACCACATTCTGCTTCATAACAAAATAAATTTATGGATATGGTATTTTGTGAATGAACTTTTAAATAAAAGAAAACATTAAGTAAATATTTAACATTGGTCTTTATTTGAGTCTGCTGTAGCATGGTTTTTTGTCCTCCCTCAGTTTTCAAAGTTTGTGTTAAAATGGAATTTGCTTCCTTAAATTTTATAAATTGTAAATGTTATCATTTTTTTTATTCTTATACAAATAAGGGAGGGGAGGAAAAGATAAACGGGAGGAATCTTGTCTAAAAAAGTGCTGAAAGGAGCAGGGCACAGTGAAGTAAGACTTGTGTATGAGTGGAAGCAAGCCCAGGTTCTTTGTAATGGAAGTTACACTACAGCCACGGGACATTGCTGAGGCTGCCAGGCAGGACTTGGGCATACTACAGCTTGCAGGACACGCAGTGCCTCATGCCATTTCCCACATGCTGGGTTCTGCTGCCCTCACTGGAATCCCCTGCCTGCTACAGGGCAAAATGAGTGTCCTTCCCTTCTGAGTAGTGGTCAGTTTAATGGGGAGTCTTTCGTAGTAAGACAGAGTAGGTCAACTTGATGCTGTCTTGCCTAGTTTCTTCCAACCGTTTCAGCTGACCCATTTCCTGCTAGACATACCTGTAACTGAAGCTGTTTCCCTGGGTCTTTGAAATATGTGTGTATTGCAGTCTGTTAAAAGGGACAGAGCCATGTTTTTATTGGGTAAATAAGCACTGACCTTCCTGCTGGTTTCACTGCATTTCATAGCATGAAAGGAGAGAAGTTCTTCCCTCCCCCTCTAGACCTGCTGTACACCAGCTTAAACAGAATCCAGATCCTGCTCTGGAGCCCCTTGCTGCAGCAGCATGTGTGCTAGCACCTGGCTGTCCTGCCGGAGCTTTGTCTGTGCAAGCAGGGCTAGCTGTGGTGGTCGTGTCCCTTAGCTGCTGCCACAAGGCTGGCTCGTGGTTGGGCTTTCAAACCTGATGGAAGCAATAATTTCCTGACTGCATGGAGGAAAGTAATGCTGGTTTGTGAGAAAGCTACAAGTGGGAAATGGCTCATCTTAGGCCCATATGTGTTTTTGTGTATCTGCTAATAGTTATTTGGTCAAAGGTTTTGTACTAGTGAATGCAGTTTAATCTCAATATCATTTGACATTCATCGGTTGGTTGTTGAGGTTTTTTTTCAGTTCTTCATATGCAAATGTAAATGCCTGTTTCTTTAGAGCATTCTGCATCATGCCTCCCATATCCCTTAGGATCAGACTCCTCCTTTTTCTTTCCCTCCCTCAAAAATTTAATTGTTTAACCTTTTCTTATTTCGAAGCATATCAAATGAGGTTGTGTCAACAGTTGACAAAGCTACATTTATGTGTGTGTATGTGGCATTTGAGTGTCATAGGAGACAAGATTATTCTTCCCCATCCTGCCAGCAAAAGGTAGTTAAGGTTTAATCTGTAATGCTTAATTTTAGCTGCAGCTTAATGCTAAGCCTGGAATGGCAAAGCCTAGACTGAGAAGGTTACCTACCAGCAGTAGTAAAAAATGGGTAATTCACTTTGTGGCTATTCCTGTTCTCACCAAGTAATTTCTAGTGCAGAGCTTTCTTCAAACTTGAACTTAAAAAAATAACCAAAACTGAAGTCAGTCAGAGCTGGCTGTGATAGAGAGCGATTGTGGCCAAGACTTGCTGTCCCAGTGCAGTTCTGAATGGGGCTGGTGTTTCTCAACTTGTCTTAGGAATGCTGTTACAGTTTCAGTCCTGACTTCAGCACACAGTCTAGTAGGAACATTTGCTACCTGTCGTACTAGTTGCTGACTTGCCTTCAGAAAAGGTGATAATTCATCTTGAGAATTTTAGAGCCAATCCTGTGATACTGCAAACCTCCCTTTTTCTAGAAAATATTTAATAATAAAGCCAGCAAATTCTGCAATGCATGTGCACCCCCTCCATCAGATGTAGGAACTTGCAGAGCAGCCCTGGTCTGGCTGACGGCTTTGACCAAAGCTGTTTGCAGAGACTGGTTTCCAGGAGCTCCCCGTTCACCTGATGTGTATTTTGGACAAGGGCTGCCTGTGTCACGCTTGCTCCAAGTCGTGCGGTGTGAAGCCAGGCATAGATCCCTGGCTTTTCTACATCGACCTAGTTCCTTCTCAGTGCGTGGAAGTACGTCTCTTGATTATTCTTGCTGGCTGATAGAAGGAGCACAGTCAAGGAGCTGTTAACTGTGAGCATCTTTATTTGTGCTAAGTTTTGGTTTACACTCTGATGGTTTCTGTGTTTCGCTAGCAGACAAGAGCAGAGGCTCTGAAGGAATGCAGTTGTCTGCATATCTGGGCATATTCTAGCACAGAATCGCTTTCCAGTTCTCAAGGACACTTCTCTGGGCTGGATTCTCGAGATGCAATTTTGTAGGTGATGCTTGTCTTAAATTTGTAGAAAGAGGGAGTTCTGTGACTGAAGAGGAATTTGATTTCCGGCTGAGACTGGAGTTTTCTAATCCGGTAGCTGAATCCCTCCTTTTAAATGCCACTTACCCACTGCGAGATTTTAAGGAATCGGAGAGCCATCTTTTATCTATATAATCTGTAATTTATTCTCTTACCTGTGATACCACTCACTATAGTGTTATTAAACCAAACCACTTAGAAGCATTTAAAATGGGGTAACCATATTCTTTGATGCTGCTTTCTGAAGGGATTTAATCTTTCAGTGCCGGATGCTTGACTCTCAGGCCTGATGCACAAGCAGTATTAGCAAAGTCTTGATGATGTTCTGGGCTAACTGGAGAAACGTACTACCAGGTGCACTGTAGCTGTAGAGCTTGAGCCTGTCCTGTGCGTGGGGGACTGCAGGGAAGCTTTGCTGGTTCCTGCCCGTGTCTGCTCACTCAAACCCGAAGCTTGGATGGGCACAAGAAATGGGAGCTCAGGTTCTGGTTGCACGTGCAGTGTCATGGTGTGGGTACGGTGTTGCTGTTACTAGGTCTAAGTTCATGTTCCTCATCTCACTGTAGCAGTTTGGTGACTAATTCTAGAGCATTTTATGGTTTCCTTTTCTATAGCTGCAACGACTCTTGTTCCGTGACACTGCCCGCTCAACGGCAGGCTCATTTTAACATCTAGTTCTTTCATTTCTGTCTCCTTTGCAGCAAAGTGCATCCAGGGGGCTTTAGGGACTTTCAGCGCTGTTGCAGGAAAAACCTGCTTACCTGTGAGCTCAAATTCTTCTGTAAAGGTCTAGAGTATCCCAGGGTCGATGCTTTGGGTGTAACATTGCCAGGAATGCTGCCACCGCCTTTCCACCTGGTAGGTTTCAGCCAAGTTAGGGTTCAGCACAGTAGAGATTTGCTTTCTACTATGAGATCACTTTGTTCACGTCGCTGTGCTCCCAAGATCTGCCTCTTTCTTTTAAATAAACCAAAAAAATCACTAAGTACCTCTATAAACCCCTGCAAAATCTGTACTGTAATGAATCTGTATAATTTGTATTGCTGTATAAGAAATCAAATAAAACAGTTCAAACCTTCCAGGGTTTTGTGTTCAAATGTAACAATTACAGTGTCTACAAGGTTGAGCTAAGCAAGATAAGAGTGGGAAGCAGCTTTACAACACTGTAGGGACATACAAGATTAGCCTTTGCAAAAATTTTGCCCCGATTTTTGTGAAGCACCCAGAAATCCTAGCTGTGAGCTGTCTTTCCACTGGGTGGTAGCAGCATTTCTCTTCAGCTGTAACGGAGCTGCTTTTGGTTTTAGTTGGGTGAGATCAGATTTGCAGTGGGGCGTGCAGCTGGGCCGGGGAGGAGGTGCCACTTCCTCTTTAGCTGGGGAAATGATCTTGCGACTGCGGCGCAGAGGAAAGCCATCTCTTGGTCTGTACAGAAATGGGTGTGCGCTGCTTCAGCGTGTCAGAAAATTTCCTCCAAGACTTGACTGTCATTAAAACGGCAAAACAAGTAATTAGAGGTTGGGATGAGGCACGTGCTGATTCTGGTCACAAAGTGAGCGGAATTTGAATGCTGGTCCTCTGCAAGGCTGGCAACGCTTGACTCACAAAGTTCATGAGCTCTGGGAGAAAGCGCCTGGTGGGGCTTGGAAACCCTTCCTCAAGGCTTTCACCATTGGGTGTGTTTCTGCAGAAAGGTCAGGTTTAGATGACGCATTGATCTTTAATCGTTGTTTAACTGTAGCTTTCTGATCAGCATTAGTCATAACACCTGGTTCAAGCTAAACCCACTGGGCT